TAAAACCCTAGTTTTAAGTTTTTGGGAGCACCTATCCCATAAAATGAGATACTGCAGGATACTATTCTTTTTTTAACTCTCAGAAAGAAAGTCTTCATTTTAAAATCTATTGTGTCAGCCTAAAACGTAGATAGAATACCTCTTCAGTTGATTTAACTCTTTGATTTTATATTTTTATTCAAAGTGCACCAAAATGGGTTTTAGAAGTGCCCCAAGTACCTAGTTTGGCTCAGATGTGTACTGGAATTTTTATTTTATGGCTTGAATATGTTATATGCTGGGAATACTTATTAAGTGTGGCATGTGATTCCAGGTTACAAATTAAGATTAAGAAATAGCTGGTTTGTGCTTCATAGTACTTGGCACACTAAAATACTGCACATGGCCGAAGTGTAATGGTGCCTATTCAGGTCTGTAGAAATTAGCTGTTTGACATCTGTTTTGAACCCCTAGTGTGTGCTAGAATTATGTTTTCTCAAGGCATTACAGCTGAGGGCATAATAAATCCTTGATGAGAATTTCATGCTCCTATGACTTGCTTTATGTTACCCAGTCAAGTTTCCCGTTTGCTTTTGCTCTTTGGGAAAAGGCAGCTGTTGAGTGTTCAGAGAGTGCACTGTAAGGCATTGGAATCAAGGCTTGACTTACGTGAGATGCAGATCCCAGAGCATGGCAAGCCTTGTGAGTCTGTTTGACTTGCTGCTCATCTCCTTTTTGTTGGCTTCTCACAAACTCCCCAGTAGCAAATCAACAACCTGAACCTCCAAGAATGCCTTGGATCTACTTTGCTTCTTACCTGTTCTACTTCCACCATTCTTCCCACCTCTCACGGTGCAGAGAGAGTAAACCTCCTGCCTGGTGGGCTTCCTTTCATTCCACAGCACTAAAAATTCGCTGATAGAGAGGCCAACTTCCTTGGTACCTTGAGTGGCACATAGACACTTGAGGCATGGCAGCCTCTGGCCTGTTGTAGAGCTGTTGAAGTTTCTGTTCCATGCTCTCTTGGAATGTCTTCATGGATGCACAAGATAACTTGAAGACTTGATGATGGACTCATTAGGTGAAGTTCCATCTCAATGGGAGAATAAGTACACTTAGAGTCGTGAGTGTTTTCGTGTGTAGACGTGGTTGGTACACAGTAATGCAGTCTCTTTGGATTCACAGGGTCCTGTTTGTCTCAGTAATTGCTTCCTTTGTAGAGCTCCTAGGCCAAAAGAAAAGCTGAGCTGCTTCTAACCAACCTAAAAAGTCTCTGTGACCTGACAACGTTGCAGACATTTGCAACCAAGATTGGGGGCATGGGGGGACGGAGAGGGGGCTTCAAAAAGCTCATGGAAAACATATATTATAAAAAACACTGTGCATGGGGGTTCCCAAAATTTTTTATATTGAAATAAATTTACCATTTCCATTTTCCATGAAGTTTTTGAAGTTGCTTTTTACATTGAAAGAAATAATCTTTACTTCTTCCATCCTTGAGTAACCATCACCATTAGCCAAGTGGTATGTTATCGTGTGCTGTTGAACTCTGCGCAGCCTCTCAAATTTCACTGTAATAGTACGTGCTGCCTCCCTCGTTTCCTCTTCCACACTGATTTTCATTTGCTTTTTGGTATCACAATCACAATGTCCCAGCTTCACAAAGTTGTATCGTGAACTGATATTGAAGCTGTGAGCTACTTCCAGTTAGGATTTTGCACTATTGCCTGAGAGATGTCGCTGTGTTTTCCTTGGAAATTGAAGATTTCCTTGCATGGCACCCTCGCACACAGCTTGGAAATGGTGGGTCACATGGCATGCAATTCTCAGATGTGTTGACTTTTCTTTTTTAACATCTGAGGTTTTGCAGAGAGCCCGTTAGGTGGAGTTGAGGGTAGCATTTATTTGTTATTTCCTATTAATGGATTACAACCATCTTAGGAAGTGGGTGGTTCTCATTTCCCCCAGCCCAGTAATGAAAAGTCAGAGACCTGTAGAACTCCTTTTCCTGTGTAAAAAGTTAGCATGGGCATAGGAAAAGCTCATGTTCAGTAATTTAGCTCTGATTTTCCAGGTTTTTTTTTTTTTTTTTTTTTTTGACAGGCAGAATTAGTGAGAGAAAGAGACAGAGAGAAAGGTCTTCGTTCCATTGGTTCATCCCCCAAAATGGTTGCTGCAGCCGCCACACAGCACTGATCCAAAGCCAGGAGCCAGGTGCTTCCTCCTGATCTCCCATGCAGGTGCAGGGCCCAAGCACTTGGGCCATCCTCCACTGCCTTCCTGGGCCACAACATAGAGCTGGACTGGAAGAGGAGCAACCGGGACAGAATCCGGCGCCCCAACCGGGACTAGAACCCAGGGTGCCGGAGCCGCAGGTGGAGGGTTAGCCTAGTGAGCTGTGGTGTCTGCCTTCAGGTTGTTCTATTAGTACCATATTTCCATATATGATCTTAGATTCAACTGAGCTCAAAAATAAAGGACATTATCTTTGCGTAGCAAATTACGATTTGTATATGGCAACGTGTTCAGCCCTTGGCTTCCAGGAGTAGTTGCACAAATTTGGAATGGACACACACAGCTTAATATTCCTATATGATAAAAATTGCTTCTGTTAAGATAAATAAAAGCTCTATGATAATCAATAGTAAGGCTTCCTGTAATTCATTTTAGGCTACATTATGGCAAATCTAGTGTGGCAAGGGAAATGGTGATTCTCTTATATTCTGCTCTAAGCTGCCTGGGAGATCATCCTTGGAGTCTGTTTTTAAGTTGGGAAGCATGCCTATAACATCATGATTGAAGAAGCTGAGACCATTTAGCAGCAGAAGCTGAGCTTGAGGAGGAGGGATGTGGCAAGTGTCTTTATATTTCAGCCTTCCGAATATTTGAAAGAGGATATTATACTTGTTCTGCTCTAGCCAAAGGGCAGAATTAGTGCTGTTAAATAAATTCAATAACAACAGCAAAATAATAATAGTAATTTATAGTTGTCCCCACTCTAGGAGGCATTATATTCCTGTCATTATAAACCACTGTGAAAAGGATAAAAGTGACATGTGGTAGAACAGCATGACTTCTTTTTTTCTTTTTTTTTTTTTTCTTTTTTTTTTGACAGGCAGAGTTAGACAGTGAGAGAGACAGACAGAGAGAAAGGTCTTCCTTCCGTTGGTTCACCCCCACAAATGGTCGCTATGGCCGGCTCACTACGCCGATCCGAAGCCAGGAGCCAGGTGCTTCCTCCTGGTCTCCCATGCGGGTGTAGGGTCCAAGCACCTGGGCCATCCTCCACTGCCTTCCCGGGCCACAGCAGAGAGCTGGGCTGGAAGAGGAGCAACCGGGGCAGAATCTGGTGTCCTGACAGGGACTAGGACCCGGGTGCAGGCGCCGCAGGCAGAGGATTAGCCTAGTGAGCCGCGGTGCTGGCCCAAACAGCATGACTTCTAAGCCCCTTCAAGATTTTGTTTTCCTAACTTCCTGGTTTATCTTTGCTGCTGAATACAGCAAAGACTGTGTTCTGTGTTCAGCCGTCTCACCAAACACACTTCTTTCCAGAGTGGTAAATTAAATGTAAAGTAGCATTTAAGTATTCTGCTGGAAACTGGTATCTTTATTTAGTTGAAAGACACAGAGAGAGAAACAGACACAGATATTCCATCTGTGAGTTTACACGCCCGCAACAGCTAGAGCTGGATCCTGCCAAAGCTGGGAGCAAGGAACTCAATCCAGGTCTCCATGTGGGTGGCAGGTACCAACTACTTATCAGGGTGCACATCTGCAGGAAGCTGGGATTAGAAGTGGAGCCAGGAGTTGAATCCAGGTACTCTGATACAGGATGTGAGCATCCCAGCTGGTGGCTTAACCACCAAGGCCAGACACCCAACCAGGAACAGGTATCTTTGTGGACAGAAGCCATAGAAGGAGGTCATGGTTCTTATTGGGGAAGTCTTTTCTAGTTTGCAGGTGTAGTCCCTATGTGGTACAATCAGTCCACCTCTGGGAGGCCTGGAAAAGCCTTGAATTTTATGTTTGTGTGTGTGTGTGTGTGTGTGTGTGTGTGCGCGCGTGCGCGCACGCGCGCATGTGTGTGTGTTTGTGTTTTCATGTGTTTAAGCAATTGAAGCGTTTACCTGTAAATTTCTCAAATCAACTATCAGTTTATGAATTCAGAGTTTAAAATAAATCAGCCCTGAGACTCCAGTAGCTTTTCTTATGCTGCTGTATTGTCTGCATAAACACATCGCTACAGTTAACCCTGTAGATGAGTTGAGGCATATGAAAACTCACCCGCTGCTTCTGTTCCTAGTGGGAACAGCCCTTTAGGGTTCCTCTTCTCACCCTCCTGGGCTGTGCTTCCTCACAGGTCAGCTAAGGCAGACCTTTCACCCCTGGACTCCCACTCCTCCCTCCTTCTGCCTGGCTCCTGACAGACAGATCCGTTGGGCGGGGTGCCTTACAGACAGGTCTGTACCTCTTGGGTGGAGAAGGAGAAGTCTTTATTCTTCCCTCTTACTCTGGCCTCTTTTTTTTTTTTTTCTGCCTTTTCTCAAGCCCTGCCAATTCTCTTTCCCTTCTGTGAAAGCAGATTTTACAGAAAATTCCCCAGCCAGCCTTAGGTTGTGGACAGTGTACAGAAAAGCAAAAATGGGGTCTGCACTAGTGTTCTGATTTACTGGGAAGACGTTCCCAAAGAGCCCTGCAGCCAGCTTAGCTGCCTGTATCGTTCAGCAGGGCACACGCACCCCTCAAGAGCTGCTCGTGTGGTTCCCGCACAGCGGTGTGATTACTGATACACTGTGTTTTAAGTTAGTTTTGAGTTGTGTATTTCATCTGTGAAGTTGGCAAACACTTGAAAGCCACAAGCTACTGGTTTTTGAAAGCTTCTTTGCACATGAGCATAAAACGTATGGATTGGATTTGGAGGTTGTCCAATAACTGCCCTTTTAACACAGCTGAATGTAGATTGCAGCTGTTTCCCCTAGAAAGACACGTCTTGTCATAATCTCTCTTTCTGCCGTCCACAGAGTGTCTCCTCTGCAGAAGTCCGAGATAGTGGACGTGGTGAAGAAGCGGGTGAAGGCCATCACCCTGGCCATCGGGGATGGTGCCAACGACGTGGGCATGATCCAGACGGCGCACGTGGGAGTGGGCATCAGCGGGAACGAGGGCATGCAGGCCACCAACAACTCGGATTACGCCATTGCACAGGTCAGCCGTGGGGGTGACCAGCTGTCCTGTCCTGATGACAGTGATGGCAGCCGGGCTGGCGAGCCTGGCGCTTGATCTGCAGTCCTGCCCCCTGAGAACTCTCCCACGCCTTTTGAGGTCACCATCTGCATGAAACTGCCAGCATATTCAGATTTCTCTGTCGTTTTGATCTCATGCAGTCTGGAGGCCCGGTCTTGTGATTGGGTTTCTTCTGACCAGCTGTGGGGCTGAACACACTGCACCGTCAGCAGGCGAGGTGCCCATCCCGACAGAGAGATCCGTGGTCCTGCTAATAATAACCTCTCACCCTCCATTTCTGTGTCTGCTATGTGTGCCTTCCCCTATGCCTCCTCTGCTGAAGAACAGCTGTACTCAAAACACCCTTGTTCTACCATCCCTGCCTGGTGCATCTCCTGTTTCAGAAGGCACTGGACACTCCTTGGCCATTTGGCCTAATTGTTAGGAAGCCCACATACTATGTTGGAGTGCCTGAATCTGATGTCCACCCCCAGCTTCCTGCTAATGCAGACCCTGGGGGGTAGCAGTAATGGCTCAAATATTTGGGTTCCTACCACCCAGGTGGGAGATGCAGATTGCATTTCCAGCTGCTGGCCAGTGCATCTGGGGGAATGAATCAGTGTGTCGAAGAGTGGGGTGGGGAGGGGTTCTCTCTCCTTCTCCCAAATAAAGGAGAGAAGGAAAGAGAGGGAGGGGAAGGGCAGAGAGGGAGGGAAGGATGGATCATGGAAAAGCAGTGATTTATAGCCGTCCCTCTGTCTGAAGTGGACACTGGGCAGTGCCCAGAACCCATCCTGCAAGATGAATTGCTGAGAGCCTGAGCCAGTTTGGGCCACAATGATCCCATAGTCAGTAGCAAGCAGCCCTCTAAAGTCAGGCCAGGTTCCTGCCTTTTCTCTCTGAACTGAGCTTTGCATTGCATTACTGCACAGGTGGCTTGAGCATGAAATAAGGAATATCTGTTCCTTAACAACAGTCCAAAGGTGAAGGAAAGTGGCCCACTCCTGACCTTAAGCGTGTGTTTAGACCATCTGGGCTGCTGGGTCATCCAGAGAACCGAGCCATCCCAGGGAATGCACACGCATTCCTGCTGTCCCCAGATGACTAAATGTCTGCCCATTCACCAACCAACTAGGGAGAGCCCCCTGGTGCTTCTGTGTTGCGCAGGCTTTTGATGGCTGCATTAGCCATTGTCGCATGAACACAAGGCATCATGGCTTTGTCCCCCTTCACACTGAAATAAGGCACTGCAAATAGAATGTGAATGAGCTTCCTGCAGCCCCAGGGCTGCCGGCTGGTCCTCTGCTCGATTGGGCTTCCCCTCCCCAAGGCAGGCTCTGCATTAGATCACCTCTCAGCTTCCTCCCCAGCTCTTGGTTCTGCAAATGTGTGGAGGAATTACTGACTCCACGTGGCTCTGCAAAGTGCGTGAAATCAATCTTGGTCCTTGGTTGACTTCAAATAAATCCTCCAGATAATTCCCAAAGTAGGTAGGAGAAGGAATTCTGACTTTAAAGGTGGGAAAACCAGGGTTCCCTCACATCAGGTGATCAGTCTTGGGTCCGAGTGAGCACCCGGGGTCAGGGGACCACAGACCCTTGAATGAACCTGGGGGCTGGCCTTGCGCACCTGCCCATTTACTTTCCCCAGTCAACTGCTCCAAGGCCTGTGGGACTTGAGCTTCCTGTAGTCTGTCAGCAACTGTAGATGTTATACACCCCAGCGTTATTAAATACTTGAGTTATAACATCATATGGCTGGAAGGGATCTTAAGAGGTTTCCTAGGAGTTCCAGGCAAATATTTGTCTGTCTTTTTCTTTAAAATGTCTAGGGAAGGGAGATCCCATGACCTGCTTTATTGAAACTGCATACTAATAGGATGTGCAGTGCGGAGCCATTGCTCTCTCCAAGTTCAAAGCTGCAGCAGAGAAGGGTGGTGCAGGGAGTAAAGCTTCCTTGCCCCTTCAGTGCAATGGTTGCCCTTGCCCGGGGAACTGCTGGTGTCTGGGTGTGTCTGAGAGCCCTTGTTTCTCCTGTCCATGGTCCTGTTCTTGATTTACAGAGGCGAGGCTGCTGTTACTTCAGAGCCCTGTTTATGCCCACCTGACACGCTCTTCTCTCTGAATTACTGTGCTGGGAATGTCACCATGAGGTGGATTCCTCTGCTTCTGCTGCAGTGACAGGCATCTGTGGTTGACCACGCACTGTACCTTTTAATTTGGATGCGTGCATTGTTGATGAAGGTTTCCAGGCAGCAGGAGAAGGACATGGAGCTCAAAGACTTATCCCTGGGAAGGCTGTAAGGCAGGCAAAGCTCTGGGTCCATTTCTTTCCTGCCTGCCTTATACAAGGGTGTCGCTCCCCCTCTTCAAGGAGGAACGACACAGGACCCTGTGCTGTTCTTTTGTCTGCTCGGCCCTCCCCGGGTTGGCTGCTGGTTCTTCCCGGGTTGGCTGCCATCCTTCCACCTCCGTGGAAGGGCGGTTCCCCCTGCCACTTTCCCCACTTCCGCGGGGGAGCGGCACACCCCTGGCCGGCTCTCTCGGGGGGCTGCTCAGATGTTCCTCAGGTGTTCCCCTTAGATGTTCCTGGTGCATGTTGTCTCTCTCCTCCTTTATAGTCCTCTTCCACCAATCCCAACTCTGCTACCCACACGCCGAGTACGCTGCTCTTCTCCAATCAGGAGCAAGATCAGCTCCTGCAGCTCAGTCAATCAAATTGGCGAGAGGCAGCTGTGTAGAAGCTGTTTACTCCCTTCTCAGTGCCATATGGTGGGAGAGCAGATGCATAGAATAAGTCTTAATTCGAGTAACTTAGTCTAGTCCGAGTTGCTCCCCACACAAGGGAACTTCACAAAGCTTGTGCCTAAGTGGACTTAAAAGATAGGTTTATTTTGCTGGAAAGGATTTTTGAAATTGACACCTAGTTTTTTCTCATAATAGGTATTTCCCATGGATGTTCTCAAGACCCCTCACATGCATGGGTTTGAAATGTTTTTTTCTTTAAAGATTTATTTTATTTATTTGAAAGACAGAATTATAGAAAGAGGTAGAGACAGAGAGAGAGGGAGGTCTTCAATCCTCTGGTTCACTTCCCAGATGGCTGCAAGGGCCAGAGGTGCGCCAGTCCAAAGCCAGAAGCCAGCTTCTTCTGGGTCTCCCATGTGGGTGCAGAGACCCAAGGATTGAGCCATCCTCTGTTGCTTTCCCAGGCCATAGCAGAGAGCTGGATCTGAAGAACAGCCGGGACTAGATTCCATGCCCATGTGGGATGCCAGTGCTTCAGGCCAGGGCTTTAACCTGCTGTGCCAGAGTGCCAGCCCGAAATTTTTTTTTTTAATCAAAATAAACTTAACTTTTAAATGGGGAAGCATGTGTCCCACAGACCATATAAGGCCTGTAAAATCATTTTGTCTGGTCCTACCAAGACAATTTCAATAAATTTCCAGCAGGCTAACTTTTTTTTTCCTTTTTAGATTTTATTTAATTATTTGAAAGGCAGAGTTACAGAGAGGTAGAGACAGAGAGACAGAGAAGTCTTCCATCTGTTGGTACACTGCCCAAATGGCAGCAACAACAGGAGCTGAGCCAATCTGATGCCAGGAGCCAGGAGCTTTTTCTGGGTCTCCCACGTGGGTACAGGGGGCCAAGCACCTGGGCCATCTTCTGCTGCTTTCGCAGGTTATAGCAGAGAGCTGGATCAGAAGTGGAGCAGGCAGGACTCAAACTGGGGTAATTTTTAAGTTGATAATTGTGTATGGCCTGTAAATCCTGTTATCAATATGCAAATGGCCCTTGGTAGAAAAAAAAAATAGATTCTCCAGCCTAACTTCAAATCCACAGACTTTCTGAAGTCCCCTTGTGTTTTTATGCACAGGGGCTGCCTTGGGCCTGACTGCTGTCCTCAGTTTTGCTAGCTCTGCCCGGGGCAGTCTTGGCTGCCTGGGTGTGATATTGCTGTGCGGGCAGCCCTCTGCTTCCTGTTCTCCTTGGGAGAATCACTCCTGCCCCCTACCTTCGTAATGCTTTCTGAATAGCCTCATGAAGACAGCGTTTTGATTTAGGATATACATTTTTCTCCTGAAAACAAATCATTGTAGCGCTGCAGTTGAGGATTCAGGATGACTGGAGCAGATGTGCTCTGTGCCCATTGAAGTTAAACTTCAGGGGGTCTGGGTCAAATGCAAACTTCCTTTTTGTTCGTTTAGTGAGTTATTTTATGATTTCCCCATTCCCCTTGGGAATCCTTAATGAGCCTTTATGGGAGTTTTATTTTTCCATATGCACCTACTTCTGCCATTTTGAAGCTGTCATTTAAGATTTTCCAGGATGTGGATGAGCCCCCATGCCTTCCCCTGGTCTCCTGCAGGAACTCCTTGAAACCTGGCCTCTCAGAGGACACAGTCCCCTTCCTTAGTGTGAGTGGGAACCAGTGCGCACCCCCTCTTGAAAAGGAACTTCTTAAAACAAAGATGCTGTAGTTTTAGAGTCTTTCAAGTATAATTTCAAAAGTCATCTGAAATCACAGGAGGTTTCCAACAGCAGAAGAATTTCCAGTGCGTGGGGATGCCCTCAGAACACCTGCTGGTCTCTCCTTGCAGCATCAGAGGGCTATCGCTGTGGCTTGCCCAGCGACAGTAGTAAGGGCTTGCTGACACTGTCTCTGGAAGCAGACAGGACTGAGTGTTCACTCAAGGCAACACTGTTAGTCATTACCATGACAAAGTAGCTGAGGCTAGGTATTTTATCAGGAAAAGAGGTTTCTTTGGCTCGCAGTTGTGGAGATCTGAGAGCAGGGTCCTGGCATCTGCTGGCTCTAGCGAGGGCCTCTGGCTCCATCACAAACACGGCAGGCGGCTGGATGGTGGGAGTGCATTCAAAAGGGAGAGACCGGTCAGCAAGTGGGACTGAAGCCAGCGAGCAGGGAGCGGCCCAGCTTGCTGTCTGTAACAACCTTCTCCCAGGGACTAACTGAGACTCCATGAGAACAAATTCCTTCCAAACTCAGCACCCCCAACGATCCCAGGGTCTCCCACCAGGCAGCACCTTGTATGGGTCTCACCGCCACCTAGCCCCACCACGGTGGGGACCACACCTTCAATACACAGGAGCCCTTGGCAGACAAACCACATCCCAGTGGCAGCGTCAGCCAAGGGGAATCTTGACCCAATGCAAGGCAGATTGGATGTAAAGAAACCATGAATTTAAACAGGATTGTCCCAAAGCATGCATTTATGCCAGAGCGTATCAATGTTCACACACACACGCGTGTGCACGCACACACACACTCACCTAATTTCCCCCCCTCCTGCTCAGGAGTCACACTTTGAGGGACCTTTGTGAAATAGGACACAGAAGGCCAAGCCAGGCTAAGGGGAGGCTGAGGGGATAGAATGTGATGTTGAATCCTGCCTCAGGGCCATTCTCTCACCCTCAGCTCTGTTCCTGACTGCATAGTGTTCCGACTGCAGGTGCTCTGGACTTGTTGGGGAAAACAAAGAAAGCAAAATGGATGTAGAAGTGGATGTAAGGCCGGTGCCATGGCTCACTAGGCTAATCCTCCGCCTTGCGGCGCCGGCACACCGGGTTCTAGTCCTGGTTGGGGCGCCGGATTCTGTCCCAGTTGCCCCTCTTCCAGGCCAGCTCTCTGCTGTGGCCAGGGAGTGCAGTGGAGGATGGCCCAAGTGCTTGGGCCCTGCACCCCATGGGAGACCAGGATAAGTACCTGGCTCCTACCATCGGATCAGTGTGGTGCAACGGCTGCAGCGCGCCAGCCGCGGCGGCCATTGGAGGGTGAACCAACGGCAAAAGGAAGACCTTTCTCTCTGTCTCTCACTGTCATCCACTCTGCCTGTCAAAAAAAAAAATTAAAAAAAAAAAAGAAGTGGATGTAGAAGTAGAAGAAAGCAAAATGGATGTGTAGCAGTGTGTGTGTGTTGCGTGCAGGCATTTTACATGTACACATAGGATCCTTTTTAAAACAAGAAACTGGTACCCAAGCATCCCTGTCCCTTGCTCCTGTTTGTAAGAAAATCTGGGATTGTCTAAAGCATCTGTTTCCCACTGTACTTTTCTTCCAGTTCAAGTAGTCATCTTCTAATTAATTCCTAGAGCCCCCCAAAAAGAGCACTAGCAATCAATAGAAATTTTTTTTTTTTTTTTGACAGGCAGAGTGGACAGTGAGAGAGAGACAGAGAGAAAGGTCTTCCTTTTTCTGTTGTTTCACCACCCAGTGGCCGCTGTGGCTGGTGCTCTGCGGCCGGTGCACCGTGCTGATCCGAAGCCAGGAGCCAGGTGCTTCTCCTGGTATCCCATGCGGGTGCGGGGCCCAAGGACTTGGGCCATCCTCCACTGCACTCCCGGGCCACAGCAGAGAGCTGGACAGGAAGAGGGACAACCGGGACAGAATCCGGCGCCCCGACCAGGACTAGAACCTGATGTGCCGGCGCAGCAGGTGGAAGATTAGCCTATTGAGCCGCAGCGCCGACCAGCATACATAGAATTTTAAGAGAGTAACAGCTAGAAGTCCAGCAGCACGTTTAGAGGGAATAATCACGGAGTTGCTCAAGCCATTCCTGGGGAGGGGTTTCCTCTCCCTGACCCGTGTGTCTCCTGTTCCTGAGGGCATTTATTTCTCAAGGAGAGGCTCTTCTGAACTTGTTCTTTTCCTATTTCAGTTTTCCTACTTAGAGAAGCTTTTGCTGGTTCATGGAGCCTGGAGCTACAACCGTGTGACGAAGTGCATACTGTACTGCTTCTACAAGAATGTGGTCCTGTACATCATTGAGGTAAGGAAGTCCCTTGCGTCCACAGGAGGAGGCTTTTTCCAGAGGGCATCTGTAGGCATTTAAAGCCATTTCAAGATAGAGTTTTTTAATGTAAAATTGAAGACAAGATGCCGCTGTGACTTGTGTACACCAGGTCACACTTAACCCGCTTTGACACCAGGTCTAAGATCCCAGTCTAGAGCCTCGTGTTCAATAACCAAAGCCAAGAGGAGCCTGCAGCCTTTTTCTCTGTGCCCCAGTGTGTCTCCCCCACCCTTGCCCCATCCATCTCCGTGCCTGGGTTCCTCCTTCCCTGCCTGTTTTGTGTCCTTGGCACTCACACTCCCCTCTTCCAGGCTGGTCAGAACCTGGGCAGCAGGTGTTCACGCCTTTCTTGGTGGGCACTGAGATGTGTCTAGGCAGCACAGTCACCGTTTGCTTTCCTAGGGTCTGACTTCTCACTGTGGTTCTCATGGGATCTGCCAAGTCCCCTGGGCAAGAGCACTCATCCCCTGCTCGTGGGGCCTTGGGATGTGGGGACCTTTATGGGAAAGGTGCAGGAATGAGTGGAGCGTAAACAAAGAAGGTACTTGAGAATATTGCCACGAGCATGTATTCTATTGTCCAGCAGTTTTCCAAGATGTAAATTCCATTACCAAACACACATGCTTGCTCTCTTGATGGGCCCAGGAAGCAGTGCTGGGTACCAGTGAGGGTACAGGCCATCCTCATTATTACTTGGGAAGGGCACCTCTGCGACAAAGGTGTGGCTTTGGAGAACCTCTGGATTAGATTTCCCAATGTGTTTAGCAAAGAGGAAGCAGGCAGTGGTGGATCCCTGTGGTGGATTAGAAAAACTATATTGTTTATGGTGTTTTAGTATCTCATTCTAGTATGGGTGATGTTTTGTCTGACTTCTCAACTCTTAACAAAAATAATAACCAAGGCAGAGATCAACTTTTTCTGGTGTAATCCCTTAAAATACTTCATTCAGATCATTTGACATGGGGCTTGCTCTCGAAACTGTGACAAAGCACTTCTTTATGAGATTGTCTAATCTTGCCAATTGAATCATACAGGTCACATTTATAGACTCATGTTAGTCCTCTGGAACTCAACTAATACCGATTTTCCCAAGTTATACAAGTTGTTTACCTCCCAGGTCTACTCAGCCAAAGGCATAAATGGGGCAGAAACATAGCCGTGTGTCTTTGTCCCTCCAGCTGCTTGGGGCCTACTTGGAAACAGCTGTGCATTTCTCTGATCTGCACTAAGGATAACCTACTCAGGATGCGTCCCTGTGTTGCAGCTGTTTTTGCAGAGAGAATGCCTCTTCCAGTTCATACAAAAGCTCCTCATAGGCTAGGGAGCAGCCCTAATTCTCAAGGAATGTTACAGGCAATCAAAGGAGATCTGGTTAAAATCCTGAAAGATGGCCAGTTTGTCCTAGTGTGAATCTTTTGTGTGCTTTTGTTAAATAAATATTATTGTTCAAGGAATAAAATATGTAGCAGAGTCTTGAGCGCTTTGGAGATGCAGTTGTCATTTATTCAGTGTAATGAGGTTAAAGTCAGTCATCTTTAAAAGCCTCCATAATCTTTCTACTTGTCTTGTGCTGCAATATTCAACTCCTCAACTCTGTTTAAGAACTCATAGATGTTAGTAGAATGGATCTTGAAATTTCTGTCTTCCTCCAGCTGTCATCCTTGCAGTTTCCTTGTGGCACTTTAAGATCTTTGTTCCTGCCACTCTGCCTCAGTTCTTTTCATTCATGATAGGAGTCACTGGTACATGTCACTTGGGTCATAGATAAGTTGGTGTGGGGATGTCTGTCCCTATATGCTCTCCCAGCTTCCCAGCGCAGCACACTCCTGTAGCTGTTGGCCTCACAAGCTTTCTCAATAATCTGGTTTTCCTCACCATCGGCAAATTACAGATAGTCTACACTCCTTATCGAGAGGTTCTGCTTGGGGCTCCTGTTCCCTGACTCACCGGGGCGCCCCCAGGGCCCTCCTGAATCATTCACACCTACTATCATGCCGATTCTTGGGAGCACAGCGGTGTTAGCCTGTCTGAAAAACTATTCAGACCAGGCCCTGAAAGTGCCATGTGAACATCTCAGATGAATTTTTCAGTAGTAGCTGAGCCATAGCTGTTAAATGGTCTTCTGTAAACTGCCTTTTCAGATGGTCTTTATAAAGTTAACAAATGCAAACACTCTCTGCCTCCCAGTGCCCAGTTTTCCACTTAGTATTTCTAGGAGATATTAATTTGAAAACCCAGAAAGCAGGATCCTGGACTGAGCCCAGATGGTTAGATCGTTACTCAGTGTCTGCCATTGCCAGGTCGTTTCCTTGGCAAAATCCTGCACTTCAAATAGGAAAGCACCGCTTGCCTGCTGTTTTAGTGTGTTTTGAACTGCAAGGTCAGAAATTGTTGTGGGTTGACTTGCTCATTTGCAAGGAGTAGTTTTTCATCCGAAAGGTAAGCTTCTAATCAATTACTTAAGTGAGAACAAATTATAAAGGTAATTCTTAGTATGGTGAGAATAAAGTAATTGTGGTACTTATTTGTCTTAAGCGGTTTCATTGTAACTGAGAGATCCTGTGCAGTAGCCAATATGTTCTCATCTCAGATGTCCTCTGATGCATGTGAGTGAGTACCAGTCAATTCAAAGTGGAGTCCAGGGGCTGGCGTTGTGGCGGAGCAGGTTAAGCTGCTGCCCATGAGGCTGCTATCCTATACAGGCACCTGTTTGTGTCCTGGCTGTTCCACTTCCCATCTAGCTCCCTGCTAATGGCCTGAAAAAGCAGCAAAAGAAGGCGCAGGTGCTTGGGTACATGGGTAGCAGAGGCTTCTGGCTTTAGCCTGCCTAAGCCCTGGCTGTTGTGGCTGTTTGGGGAGTGAACCAGCGGATGGAAGATTGATCTCTTCTCCCCACGCCCCACACCCAGCCCTTGTAACTCTGTCTTTCAAATAAACAAATAAATCTTACAAAATAAAAAGAATCCAAAAGCAGTTTGGCAAATTAAACACACACACGTGTATGCACACACAGAATTTATGGTCTTAGCCTATATTACAAGGACCATGATATGTTTTGGATTAGCAGTCAAAACTGTAGGGAAGAGCTGTATACCTATGATGTAATGCGATTTACTCACTTGGTATCCTAACCTATAAAAGTGATTTTTCTGGACAATGAATACATGCATGTGTTCTTGCCATATGGAACTCAGACTGAAAGTTCCCTCCCCTCTCACTTCTATCCCCCGTTATATATTATCTGCCCTGATCTTTCACTCTGTAGTTACAGAAATATTTGTATCTACAAACAGACTGCTGTTTTCAGATAAACGTATTCATGCCGTACAATATGTTTCAGTTCCTAGTTCACGGTGTGTTTTGGAAGTCATTCCTTGTTACTACATATAGATCGCATGGCATTTCACAATACGATTTTTGTACAAACTGTTTAACCATTTCCTGCATTAATAAACATATACCTCATCTCCGGTTTCATCCACAAAATGTCTTGTGGAATAACAGACTTCCTTCTATGCAGGCCATAAATTTTCCACCAAAATGATACTGATCTAACTTGAACATTTTTACCACAGTACCTTGAATGTAATAATGCATGCTCAATTTATATATTTTTTTCTGTACAACAGGTTCTCTGCTGCTGACAGATCTCACATAATGCTTGTTGAGTGTACCACATAAATCTTACTCAGGCTCAGTTATCATTGAATAAAGTAATTAAAAAAATAGCAGCACAATGATAGAATCCTTGGTTTTGTGGTAGCCCTGTGCATGTACCCTTTGCCCCGTGCCCCCTAGTACAGCATTTATTTAGTTTGGTTTCACCTGGGCAATTATAAAAGCCACTAGTTAGGCTTCCATCTCTAATGCAGGCAGTGTGCGATGTCTGAAAATGACATTTGATCTTTTACAGTGGTTGGAACAGATCTGCTTAAAAGTGTTGACAATGAGTAAATGGATGAATACCACCCTTGCATCAAACCCTCCAGAGGTGCCTCATTTCTTCTGATAAAGTCTCCTCTGCTCACTTGCTGTTCTGTGGTCTGGGTCCTGGTCATACCAGCCTTGTGTACCACTGCGTCCCCTTTACTTTGAATTTATTAGTGTTATTGAAGCTTAATTCGCATATAGCAAGAAAACCCTCTTAAAATGCATTTTGTTGAATGAAAACCAGATTTTTGTCATAAGAAACAAAACTAGCAGTTTTCTCTCTGCCTCCCACAGACCATGAGAAGAATGTCCCCAGGGTGTTTGGGGGTGGACATTGGCGAGGGTTGCACAGTGGTGTGGATGGGCTGGAGCTGCAGGATAAGTGTGAATCACTAGAAACATGCACTTGATAATGGCTGAAGTCGTAGAGTCTGTGTTATGTATTCTTTAGCACAATAAAAAAAAGATGCTGAACACAAGGGAAGAATAGAAAAGAATTCCACAAGATTGTTGTGCTTCCATCACCTTGAAAGAGACAAAATATTTGAAGGAAGATTGGGTGTTTGAAAAATACATTTTACCTATAGTTTCCTTTTTTTTTTTTAAAGATTTATTTATTTATTTGCAAGGCAGAGTTACAGAGAGAGAGAGAGAGAGAGAGGTCTTCCATCCGATGGTTCACTCCCCAGATGGCAGCAATGGCCAGAGCTGCGCTGATCCAGAGCCAGGAGTCAGGAGCTTCTTCCAGGTCTCCCACATGGGTGCAAGGACCCAAGGATTGAGCCATCCTCTCTCTATTGCTTTCCCAGGCCATAGTAGAGAGCTGGATCGGAAATGGAGCAGCAGGGACTCGAACTGGTGACCCTATGGGATGCTGGCACTGCAGGCGGCGGCCTCACCCACTATGCCACAATGCCAGCTTCTAGTTTATTATTATTATTATTATTAATCTAATTAAGTGCTCAATTTCATGTCCCCAGCCAGATGGTTCCCTTTCTCAGAAGGTGAAATCCTGTGTGGATCTCTGGATCCTTGCAGGGGGTGCT